GATCCAGTTGGATCGAGTGGTTCACGAGGTGAACGTGCCGAACATGAGGTTCAGGCGGATGTGTCCCGTGAGAGGACGGTGATGTTCGATTCGGAATCGGACGTGCCTGACGATGATCAGGTGGGCTCTGAGCTGGCTAGCAAGCTAGAGCTGGACTTCGCGAAGAAGTTGGTGCCCGTAGAGGTGTTGCCCTTAGAGGTGTTGCCCAGAGAGGTGTTGCCCATAGAGGTGTTGCCCAGAGAGGTGTTGCCCACAGAGGTGTTGCCCGTAGAGGTGTTGCCCGTAGAGGCGGCGGCTACACGATGCCTTCAGTCGTTCCGAAAGAGGTTGATACAGATTGCATCAGCCATCCATATGGGTCAATGCACACACGTGATAGTGGATGTTTGTACTAGTGGCAGAGCCGGTTTTACCCAGATTGAAAACAAGTTTCCTAAGTTGAGAGTTGTTTCAATCACCTTGGATACCCCTTTATCACATGTGTGTAAGATGACTTGTGATTGGATGCAGCAGATCGGGAATTTAGTGACCATCCTTGCTTGGGGATCACCACCGTGTACTGGTGGAAGTCCTATGTTGCAGCTCTGTTCGGATGGGAAGAGTCTCTATGAACGCCATTGGTCCGAGTTTGTCCCAATTCTCCATGATGTTGAATCAATTTTCCAAGAGGGACATGTCAGGGCGTTGGAGCTTTCGAAGAGTTGTAGATACTGGAAAGAGCAAGAGATTGAGTTGTTTGTGGAACGTCAAGGTCTGAAGCATGAGATCGTGGTAGCGAGATGTGCGTTCTCGACAGAAGAGGTTCGAGCGAAGCACGAGTATAGGATCATGAGCAGTCATGATGAGTTGGCCAAGAAGATGCCGGTGTGTAAATGTTTCAAGCATGCGCCCCTGAATCATCAGGATTCGAAGAGTCTTGGTTTATATCCTTATCGTTTCGCACTAAGGTTTGCCAGGAACTTCATGAAGATTTAAATGAGATCTCACGTGTTTCAAGACGGATATCCAAGAATGTATCACTTTTAGCTTGCAAGCACAGACTTTTCTTGATTCAACTAAGTTGAACCAATCTTCATCTTTTGCTTAGCCATGTCCGACACTCCGGATTCGGGTACCTCTGCAAGAGAAGCTCGGAACCTGGGTGAACCCTATGTTGCAGAAGATGATTTGTTTCATCTCTTAGCAGATGATGTGCGTACAGCAGATCAATCTCCAGACCATCCAGAGAGGTTGGACAATGTTGCGGGAGTGAGTTCAAGTGATCCACCTAGAGGTCCACAAAATGATACCTGATCCAGGGTTGATGCTCAAGGGATTGTTACACCGCGTCGAAGTTCAGCAGGAACTGTGATGACCACCTTTAGCAGAAGGGAAGTGGTGCATTTCTCCACGTGCCACCATTTGGCACGAGCCGATGTTCGTCGAAACCGATTTCTTGAGTACAAGACCTGCGAGTGTATCAATTTTGATCTTGTGGAATCTGGACGCCAGTTGTATGGCGATTTTCCGAGAGAAGGTTCACAAGAGCGATTCTTGCACATTGGTCCATACTGCGCTTTTCGGCAGTCGGACACCTTGGTAAAATATCGAGTGTGTGCGAATTGCTATGAGTCGAAGCCACGTGGGTGAGATTCGAAGCTGGAGAGAGAAATTTCGAAGTGTTTCAAGTTTTTGCTGAGATCCACAGTATTCCGGTCCTAGTTCCTTGATTGTTTTCGATCATTGGAATGCAGATTTAGATGTTCCGATGAGCTGTGGAAGAGAATTCTTTTTAAGCAACAGCCGTTCAGCATGGGGGGGTGTGAAGCTCCATCCGTGCTACATGACATCTTGCAGTGTACGCTTCTAGTGTATGCTGAAGACTTGTTGCTGGGAATCAGTACACCATAAGTACTCTGTCAGAGCCGAGCTCGACAGTTCTCCATATGTAAAGACTAGTGAACCAAAGGCCACGCTGTAGCATTTGAAGCTATTTTTGGCAGTGCTTTTGGAGAGGAATGGACGGATCATCCTGTATATCACAAGATCCACAGATCCATTTACTGACAGTCACCCGACACCAGAAACCAGAGGTCAATCGGGTATGCACTCGTTGCATTGGCTCAAGTGGAAAAAGAGCGTGAGCGAGTACAGTTGCTCTTCAAGGTGCCCTGGTCCACTCTCAGGTAGGTCCAAGAACATCGGTTGGCCTTAAAATCATGCACAGTGGAATTCACTAGGACTCCCCCAGCAAGGCTGAAGGGTCTTGGGAAGTGTTCAGACAGAGTTCGCAAGGATCGTCGGTAGTTCAACCAAGGTATCCTGGTGTTGGCCCACAGCCAAATGGGAAGACTGAAAAGTACGTTGCTGACCATTAAACAAAACATGGGTGCTTCTGTTAAACACTTGACATGACAGTGACTTGCCAAGTCACATGGCCTTGGAAAACTGGCCTGAAGGAGGTCCTTTATTTAGGTCAGGCATGAATGTGATGCACCTCGTGACTGGAGGCTGTCTTTCCTCAAAACAACACGAGAAATAAGCTGCGGACACAAAGACTCATCCTCCAACTCTCTCTGTCTACAATAATATTCTGAACAAATGAAAGTTTCCTCCCCCTGTAATATACGAGCGCGCATGTGTGCCTGTGTGAAACCGGGTCAAACTCCGTGCTGATATCTGGCCTGATCAGCCACACGTACCT